CGGCGCCTAGGAGCGCGCCGGGGCCTGTGGTCGCTGCTCCAGCGCCTGCTGGGAAGTGTAGTTCCTCAGGCAGGTTGTGGGGCCCCCGAGCTGGGGGGCCCGGGGTATGGGAAAGGCTGGGAGGTAGCGGAAGAACCTGGCTTCCTGCTGCTTGGCGCCGGCGGGGTCAGGGTCAGGCCTGAGGTCCGGGGTTGCAGCTGTCTCTCCGTGGCTGTGGGAAGTCACCTGGCTAGTCCGGGACAGGGTCCACGCTCCCAGCAGGAAGCAACAGCAGCGTCCCGATGCAGAGGCGCCTGCAGCTGTGCGCGGGGCGCGCACAGGTGCGCGATAAATGCAGGCTTTGGGGACCCGGTGCTGGCCCTAAGTGTCTACGCATAGTCAGGCAGAACGCATAAACAGAACGTCATCACCACCTGTCGAGTGGGAAGTGCGGCCAAGCAACAAAAAGCAGGGGCCTAGAAGCGGAACCCACTTCCGATGTGGGGGAAGGTCCCTCTGCGGTGACATTTAGGTTGAGACCTCAGAAGGAGCCATCTGGCAAAGAGTGGGGTCAGGTCAATAGGGCAGACGGAAAGAACAGTCGGTGCAAAGGTCTGGAGGCCAGAGAGCGACTGGCCCTCTGAAAGAAGGCGTGTGTGGCTGGGGGCAGTGCTGGGAGTGAGGACGGACACACAGCAAGGTCAGGTCCTGTCCGGCCTCCGGAGGCCTCCTTAAGGAATTTGCACTTCATCTTAAGGGTAGTGGGCACTGTGCCTGACCCATAGCCCTGATTTACCCCCTTCCCACTACTTGTTCCTCCCCTCTTCATCTATTTATTCATTTATTTTGACAAGTATTTTAAAGTAAATGAGACAAATTATGACAGTTCCTCTCTAATACTTAAGCATGCATCTCTAGAAAGTGATACCCTACAAAGCCACGATACCTTTATCAAACCAAAGAGTTAACAATAATGTCTTAATATCGTCTAATACATAGCCCACATTCAAATTTTCCTAATTGTCCCCAAAATGTCTTTTATAGCTAATTTGTTCAAGGCAGAGTCCCAACAAGGATTATATGTCTCTTTGGTAATTTTTTTTTTTTGGTCTTCATGATACTGACCTTCCTGAAAAGTCCAAACCAGTTGTCATTTGAGATGCGCCGTCACATTCTAGATTTGTCTGATGTTTCCTTGGGTGTCGTTAACTTGTTCCTCTATCTGTAGTTTCCCCTGCACACAGGTAATTAGATCTAAAGGCTTGGAGGTACATACATTTCCTAGGTTCTGCTCTGACTCCAAATCACATCACATTAGGAGGCACCCAACATCTGGTTGTCCCACTTCTGTGAGGCTGAAGTTGATCACTGGTGAGGCTGTGACAGCCAGATCTCTGCGTTGTAAAGGTAAGTCTCATACCTTGTGACCCCTGAGTTATCCAGGGGTGACTTCTTTGTTTTGTCGGTCTCTTTTGTTTATTTAAATTAAGGTATAATTTACATACAGTAAAATTCATCCTTTTTAGACTGTGAGTTTTGACAGATAAATACACCCACATAACCATCGCCACAATCAAGATAATATATTTCTATTATCCCCCCAAATTTGCCCATGCACCTTTTTAGTCAACACTTCCACGGTACCCCCTGGCAACCACTGATCTGTTCTCTACCCCTGTAGTTTTTGTCAATATCATACATAGGCATACCTCGTTTTATTCCACTCCACTTTATTGGGCCTCACAGATACTGCATGTTTTTACATACTGACAGTTTGTGGCAACCCTGCATTGGCCTAGCATTTTTTAGCAATAAAGTTTTTTTTTAATTGAAGTATAGTTGATTTACAGTATGTTACTTTCTGGTCTACGGCACAGTGATTCAGTTATACATGTATACATACGTTCATTTTCATATTTTCATTACATGTTATTACAATATATTGCATGTAGTTCCCTGTGCTATACATTTGAACTTTGTTGTTTATCTGTTTTATATATGGTAGTTTGTATCTGCTAATCCCAAACTCCTAATTTATCCCTCCCCTACCCCACTTTGCCCTTTGGTAACCATGAGTTTGTTTTATATGTCTGCGAGTCTGTTTCTGTTTTGTAAATAAGTTTGTATCATTTTTTTAGGTTCTACATATAAGTGATGGCTTATGATATTTGTCTCTGACATACTTCACGTAGTATGATAATCTCTAGGTCTGTCCATGTTACTGAAAATGGCATGATTTTTCTTTTTCACGGCTGAGTCTTATTTCATTGTATATATACTACATCTTTATCCATTCATCTGTCAATGGACATTTAGGTTGCTTCTATGTATTGGCTGTTGTAAACAGTGCTGCTATGAACATTGGGGTGCATGTATCATTTCAAATTTAGAGTTTTCTCCAGATATATGTGAGGTGTTTTTAAATTAGGGTTTGCGTATTGTTTTTCCTTTGACACAATGCTATTGCACATTTAGTAGACTACAGTATTGCATAAACAAAACTTCTGTATGCACTGGGAAATCAAAAAGTTCTTGTGACTTGCTTTATTGCAATATTTGCTTTACTGCCGTGTTCTGGAACTGAACCTGCAGCACCTCCGAGGTATGCCTCTTCAAGCAATCTTCAGTACGTAGCCTGTTGAGTCTGCTTTCTCCCTCACAGCATAATGCATTTGTTATCCATCCACGTTGTCATGCTTAATCAGTCCATTCCTTTTGATTGCTGAGTAGTAGTCCACTGTGTGGACATATCAGCGTGTTTATCCACTTACCACTGAGGAACATTGGGTTCTTTACGTGAGGCAATTCTTCAGTACCATGCAAATACCTGGTTTCACATTACATCAACTTTTCATCTAATGGCTTTATCATCCTTGGTGATCCTTGCCTCAATCACATATTTAATTGGGAGTTATAAAATGGTGATTTTCTTTCTTTCTTTCATTTCGGAGGGGGAGGTAACTAGGTTTATTTTGTTTATTTATAATGGAGGTACTGGGGATTGAACCCAGGATCTCGTGCGTGCTAGGCATGCACTCTACCACTAAGCTATGCCCTCCTTCCCAAAATGGTGATTTTCTAATTCTGTCATTCCTTCTACAATAGCTGGGATTCTTCGGTGAAGAAAAGCTTTACCTCATTGACTAGGGCTATTTGGTTATCCTGAAATACCAAAAAGACAGAATACATTCTGACATTCTTCTCTTTTATGATCTGTTTCCAGACTAAGAATTTGGTGCAGTAACATCCAATGGTGACAAATTAGGATTGAAATGCAGATGGGGTCGGGAGGGGAGACTTTATCTTTCGTGGGCTCAGGGATTTTTTCACATTCAGGATCTTTAAATCTGTTGCAATCTTTATCTTTCCCTCATTTATTGAAAGAGCACTTTCTTAGTCACTGGGGCTCTACAAACATGGAAACACAATTCCCATCCTTACAAAAGGCTGGTAGAAGGCAAGTGAGTAAATACAAAATTACAATGCAGGGTTACAATAGCAACGAGAGGGTGTCTGTGGGATTCTGTGATAACACAGACAAGGGAATGCTATGTGGGAAAGCAAGCTTATATTATACATTTGATGAGACTTAGAACTTTCCTTGTGACTTTTTGTCTGCCACTTCATTTTTGTCTTCTTTTTCTTGCCCTCCTGTGGGCTACTTGCACATCTTTTAGAACTCTGGTTTGACGTACCTGGGTTGTGTTACACTGTATAGCCCTCGAGGTGGTTGCTGTAGGTATTGCACTATACACACACCATACACACACTGTACACACTGTACACACACTACACACGTATGTGCTTGTCCCAGTGCTCTGGTATCGACACTTTATCAATTTGAGTGACATATAGAAACTTTACCTCCCTTTACCCTCCCGTTTATAATAACCATAAATATCTCCTCTACATACATTGAGAACCACATCCAACAAATTTTTTGTTTTGCTTCAACTATTGAACATAATTTCAAAGTACTCAAGAGAAGGAAAGTTTACTGCATCCATATTTTTACTCTTCCCATTGTTCTTCCTTCCTGATGCAGTATGTCCTCGTGGCTTATTTACCGTGTTCGTAGCAGTTTGTTCCCCTGCTCCTATCTTGCCCCTCCTCGCTTCCACCACCCCACTGTTAGCCACTGGTTTGTTCTGTATATCTATGACGCTGTTTCTGTTTTGCTATATTCATTTGTTTATTTTTTTAGATACCACATATAAGTGATATCATTCAGTATTTATCTTTTTCTGTCTGACTTGTTTCATAGACCACCTTACAGATCCATCCATATTTTGAAAACAGCAAAATTTCATTCTTTTTTATGGCTAAGTAATATGTGTATATGTATTTATATACATATACACATATATACAAATGATCTCACATCTTCTTTATCCATTCATCTGTTGATAAGCACTTAAGTTGCCATATGTTGGCTACTGTACATAATGGCGCCATGAACATTGGCGTGCAAGTATCTTTTTGAATCAGTTTTTGTTTTCTTTAGATATATACAGCCAGGAGTAGAATTGCTAGCTCAGATGGCTGTTTACTTTTAGTTTTTTGAGAAACCTCCATACTGTTTTCCTCGCCAGCATTTGTTATTTGTGGACTTCTTGATGACAGCCATTCTGACAAGTGTGAGGTGGTACCTCATTGTGGTTTTGATTTGCATTTCTCTGATGATTAGTGAAGCTGAGCATCTTTTCATGTGCCTGTTGGCCATCTGTATGTCTTCTTTGGAAAAAAATGTCTACTCAGGTCTTCTGCCTAATTTTTTGTTGGGTTGTCTGTTTTTTGATATTGAGTTGTATGACTTATTTATATATTTTGGATATTAACCCCTTATCAGTCATATCATTTGCAAATATTTTGTCCCTTTCAGTAGGTTGTCTTTTCGTTTTGTTTATGGTTTCCTTTGCTGTGCAAAAGCTTTTTAGTTTACTTAGGTCCCATTTATTTGTGCTTTTGTTTCCTTGGCCTTAGGAGACAGATCCAAAAAAATACTGCTACAGTTTATGTCAAAGAATGTTCTGCCTGTGTTTTCTTTGAGTTTTATAGTTTCCTGTCTTACATCTAGGTCTTTAATCCATTTGGAGTTTAGTTTTGTATATGGTGTGAGAGATGTTCCAGTTTCACTCTTTATCCCCCTTACATCTTCAGGCGACTTTTGCTGAATAGAGGATTCTGGGTTGACACATATTTTCTTTCAGGGCCTGAAAAATGTTGTGCTGCTTCTTTCTGGCCTCTATGGTTTTTGGTGAGAAATTCACTGTCATTTGAACTGTTTTCCCCCTGTAGGTGAGGCGTCATCTCTGTCTTGCTGCTTTCAAGATTCTTTCTTTTGTGTTCAGAAGTTTGATGATGATGTGTCCTGGCAGAGATTTCTTTGGGTTTAATCTGCAGGGGGTTCATTCAGTTTCTTTATAGGTTTGTGTCTCTTGCCATATTTTTGAAAATTTTAGCCATAACTTCTTTGAATACCTTTTCTGACCCACCCTCTCTCCTCCGCTTCTGGGACTCTGAAGATACAAATATGCGATCTTTTGTTACAATCCTACAGGTCCCTGAGGCCCTGTTTTATTGAGGTTTGTTCGTTTGTTTTCCAAGCATTTTCTTTCTGTTATTCAGATTGGATAATTTCTATTGATTTATCTTCAGATTCACTGATCCTTTCTCCTACTGTTTGAGATCTTTACTTGGGTTATTGTAATTTTCAGTTCTAAAAATTTCTACCTGGTTCCTTATGCCTTCTGCTGAGGCCTGAGGCTTTTTTTTAATGACAGCTGCTTTAAGATGCTTGGCATAGGAAGATTTTGGTGTTGGCATCTGTTCCCTTTTTTCATTCAAGTTGTGATTTTCATGGTTCTTGGTACAATGATTTTTAAAATCTGAATCTGAGACATTTTGGGTATTGTTATAAAACCCTGGATCTTACTTACATCGGTGCCAGTGGGGAAAGGGGTGTGCCACCTCCTCACTGCCAGGTGGGCTGGGAGTCTAGGCTCCCACTCAGCCTGTGCGGGCAGGGGCGGGAGGGGGCATCTGGCTGGAGCACAGCAGCTACTGTCTGTAACTCTTCTGTCCTGCCAGGCCTTTGCCTGGAGAGAGCAGGCTTTTGTGAGGGCTTCTTGTGTCTGTGTGGTGGTGTTTCCACGTGGCCTGCTTCTTCAGCACCCAAGCTTGGGATACATGAAGCAAAGAGGAAATCTAAGAAATGCTCTGCTGTGTTGTTCTTCAGGTCCTGGGGATCCCAGCCAGTCTGCCTTTTTCTCGGCCCTCTCACAATCTTATGTTTGTTTTATGTACAATGTCCAAGCTGTACTGAGTGGGATAAACAGGGAAAAGCCCATCTGCTCCATTTTTCCAGAAGTCAGGAGGGAGTCAGTCCTTATCTCTTTGATGCTTAAATCATCCCATTTTTGGCCAGGGGGACGAGCTGGCGCCTAGAGACCTGACACATTATTCTTTGATGGCTTCCTTGTACCCCAGGATGTTCTAGGCTCACCTCGTTCTCTCTCTGCCCCAGCCCTGGAATCAGTCCCTTCTACCAGGGCCCCTGACTGGCCTAAGTCAGCCCTGGGGGGCCATTTGTCTTGGTGTTTTCAGGTTGCTATGACAAAATACCACGGACTAAGTGGCTTAAACAACAGACATTTATTTCTCATAGAAGAGGCTGGGAAGTCCAAGTTCAAGGCAGAAAGCAGTTCTTGGTAAGGGCTCTCTCCTGCCCTGCCAGACAGCTGTCTCCTTACATTCTCATGTGGCCTTGGTACATGCTTGTCGGGAGAGAGTCTTTTCTCCTAATAAGGGCACTAATCTCATCCAGAGGGTCCCACTCTCATGACTTCATCTAAACCTAATTATTTCCCAAAGGCCCTACCTCCTAAAACCAGCTCACTAGGAGTGATTTTGACACATGAATTGGGAGAGGGGGTGATGGTCACAAACATTCAGTCCATTATTGCATTTCTCTTGCCAATGAGTGGCTCAGGCATGGGCCCTTCTCTCTTCCTAACGAAGGTGGCAGGAAGGCAAGGGCTCTCTCCTTTCTCTACTTGGGGCTCTGGTGTTGGGACACCCACTTGCTGCCAGCCTACGGACAAGACCAGCACAGAGACGGCAGAGCCAAGACACGGGAGGACTGGGAGCTAGAACCCTGGCTGTTCTGTCTACGGATAAGCTGTTTAATTTCGGCCCTTGTTCTGCCTCACCCGAGCTGCCTCAATCAGCAGCTGAGAAGAGAAAAATGCGTGATGGGTCAGGGAGGGCCATATGTCACTTGGTCTCTCTCACGAAAATGGCTCTGAACCCAAAAGAAACCCATGCACACGCTCCTTCACACTTCTTGCACGTCTGTTTATTCTTCCTGCTCATGAAAACCACTGACAAGTGCCCTTCACGGGGGAGAGAAGGCAATGCTGGCAGAGGTCTCAGGATCCCTACACTGAACACTCAGGCGATGACCCAGGAAGCCAGAGACCCCGGAGCTGGGGCCACCTCCTAAAGGGAGGTTCAGAGGGCAGCCACCCGCCACAGGTAGGGCAGCTCTGGGCGGACGCAGACACTCTCCTCCTCAGCCCAGCGAGCTCATCAGGGTCTGGGCCTGCTTCAGTTCTGCAAGGGAAGAGGGAGGCAGGCGGGGAGCAGTTAGGCAGGATCTGGGGGGCCCTTCACCCTCCAGGTACAGCCGAGCCTCACCTGCCAGGAGGACCTGGAACTTGTCTGTTGAGAGGGACATGGCCACAGGCTGGACCGGGGCACCCGAGGCAGCTGCCACCTCCAGCCGCAGGTGCACCATGGGCTCCTCCACGGACCGCAGCAGGCTAGAGCTCAGCGTGTAGTCCACCCGCCAGCCCACGCCTGCCAGCCTGTTCACTGCGACACGGCGAGGGGCTCAGGGTCACAGGCAGGAGAGCAAGGTGGCCCTCAGCCCACACCCTGGCTCAGCCCTGAACCCTTCAGGGCTGTGTGGCCTTTGAGAAGTTCTCATCTCTGACCCAGGGCAGGTGCTGAATGATCAGAAGCTCAGATTACCCACAGCCGACCTCAGAGGAAAGAAGCCTGGGCGGGAGACAGGACTCCCAGCCCTGTCACTGCCCAACATGTGATGTGGTTAACTCTCCTTTCTCAGGACAGGCACCTCCTGGGCTGCACACACCTAGGATGGGGCCCAGCCCCTACCCTAGCCCGCCCCACACTCACCTCGAAGGCTGCAGGCCCGCAGGTGCTCTTGCAGGGGGCTTTGCTTCTCCTCGTAACAGCGACACAGGCTGGCCGCGTGCTCTGGGGGCAGAGGGCGGTCCTTGAGCTAGAAGGTGGGGGCTGGGGCATAGGCTGGTCAGAGGGCCAGTCTTGGGCTCCTGGCCCAGAGAGGGCAAGGTGCATCTCAGGGTCACACAGCCTGGCCTCTGCCCAGCAGCCCTCGGCCCACAGGTTCCCCACCTGCCTGCCCTCATCCCTGTACCTTTGGGCAGCCCCAGCTGCTGCAGTTCACTGGACAAGGACTCGCCATCCACGCTATGCTTGGCCGCACTGGAGAGGATGAAGCTCAGCACTGCCACCGTGGCCTTCACATCACCTGCCTCTGGGGGGACCCGTGGGTGGAGTAGGGGGTGTCACTGTGGCCTCTGCCACATCCTTTTGCCCCACTATCTTCAGTACAGAGCCCCAAGGCCTCCTTGAGCCCTGAGCACAGCTATTGCCCCACCAGGAGCGGGCAGAGGACACCGGGGGCAGGACTGGTAGCATCTTCCCTCATGCTCCTCTGCTGAGGCAGGCGAGTCAAGGTGGGCTGTGGGGGGAGGGGCCTCGGTGCGAGGCCCCAGGCTGAATACCCAGGGTCGCCCAGAGGTCTGTGGACCCAGTGGGGTACTCACCAAACCTGGCATCAGCAGTGAGCTTCAGGATCTTCTCATACTACAGGGAAAGGAGACCCTCAGCAGTGCCAGACCCCTGCTGACCAGCCCTTTGCCCCCGGCCTGCACCCTGTGGTAATGACGGGAGGATCCAGGGAGGGCGGGACACTGATCACCCACCTCCCTGGGTCTGGTGCGCTGTCAGGCAGAGGGGTCACAGGGTCGTGGGACAAGGGGGTGCTGGGCCCTGCACTCACGTCAATCCCCTGTCCCAAAAGCTCCTTCAGCACCTGGCTACACAGCAGCCTCAGCTTCACGGAAGACTGGAAGGGAAGGCCTTCTATCAGCCAGATTGGCCCACCTCACCCCGCCATGCTGGGGGGGCTGGCTCAGAGAGGGCTGGCCACATGATCAAAGTCACACAGCATTCGAGGATAGCCAAAGAGTGCTGAGGCCCCAACCCCAGAGTGACCTCACCACTCTCCATCCCCAGAGACCCCATCCCTCCCTCCCCCACCCCCAAGACCCTGTGCACTCAACAATCTTGGCCAGTGTGCTGATCTCCGCCAGGACCCAGTCAGGACAGTCCAGATCACCACAAAACCGGAACCTCTATAAGGGAGTGAGGCAGGCGGTCAGGCTGGAGGGCGCGCTGGGGTGTGGCCAGGTGCCTCCCACACAACTGCTCCTCAGGGACCCCACTCCCTGTCCAAAGTGGGGCTTCTATTCGGGCCTCCAATGAAGTCCTCTAGCTATGGTCACAAGTGACTTTCACCACTAAGTCCCATCATCCTCTCCCTTAACTCCTCAGCAGCATCTGACACAAACCCAGCCTTCTCAAAGCAGCATGTCCTTCTGTACTCCTCCCTCTGGCCTGGCCTCTGTCTCATTTGCTGCCTCACCCTCGTTTCCCCAACCCTCAAATGGTGATCAGACTGCCTGCGGCCCTTACTCTGCAGCCAGGGACTGGGACTGCTGGCGAGGTGACAGGGTGTTCAGGACAGTCTTGCACTCACTTCTCTATTCCAGGGCTTTTTAACCTTTTTGTGCCCTGGACTCATCTGGTATCTGGTGAAGTTTATAGACCTTTCTCAAAATAACATTTTTAAATGTATAAAATACATAGAAAAAATACACAATAAAAGAACCTAATTAAAAGTTATCGAAATATTTAAAACTGGTGATGTGACATATATTTCAAGTCTAATAACCATAGTAACTTAGAAACGAGCCTAAACAAGATGTAAACAATGCCAGCAGCGGTGATGTGACGTGAAAATACCTGACTTCTCTTAGTGACAATGTCACAGGTGCTGCTAATAACACTGGGCTTTGTTGTCAACATTCATAATTGAAGGAAATATATATTTCAGTTTGAAGTTAGTGAAAATTAAGATGTAATATTTTCCCTAAGATCCTGGGCCCCTGACTTTTACCCACAGACGTCTTTTATCATCTCTATATTGTTTACATTTTTACCACAAGAGCATGTTCCTGGTGTAATTTCTTAAAATGGTGGCATGTCTCTAGGCTCTGCCCTAGGACCTCTCTTCCCAACTCACATTCTCATTGAGAAAGGTTACACATTTTTAGGATTCAAAGATCATCTTTATGCTGACAACTCCCAAATTTATAACTGCCATTGTAGATTCTCTTCTGAGCTCCAGACTCTTAAATCTAGACTGCCTCCTAGCCAGCCAGCTGCGTGGGCAGCTCAGACACCTCACTCACCCAGCGTGTACCAAGGTAACCGGTGTTCTTCCTACTGAAACCTGCTCCCCTTCTCCTGGGCTTCCCACCCCACTGAGCACCACCACCTGAGAACCAAGCCCAGACCCTTCCAGCTCCCTTTTCCCTCATGCATTTAACTCCTGAGCCCTAATTTCCTCCACTTCCATCTCTGTTCTCTCCACCTTCCACTCCATCTCCTGCTGCCCCAGGCTGGGCAATTTGTTTCTCTCTTGCTCCCTCCACAAGTTAGCGGAAAGGCCCTTTCTAGCATCCCAGTGCCCTCTTCTTACAGTCCAGTCTCCTCTATGTGGCTCCCAAGACCCAGCAAGCTTTGGTCTTTGCTTACCTGTCCAGCCTCATCTTTCACTAGCCTCCAATTTCTAGTCTTCCAGGTAGTGAAACGCATTCATTTCTAGGAAGCCATGCTCTCTCTCATCTGAGTCTCTAAATGCTGTTCCCATCTGAAGACGTAGCTCCCACCAGCAGCCCCCGCCATGCCTCCTACCCTGTGGTGCACAAACTGCACTGACCCAGCCACCTTTCTTCCTGCTCCCAGGCCCTCAGGTGATGTCATCCTCGCCTTCCTTACTTACACTAGGTCAGTTAGGCCCCTTCCCCTCACGTCTTAACTATGACTGCTCATTCAGGCCTCCAACTTTGCTCTTCCCTCCTGCAGGTGAATTCCCAGTGTCTGGCAGTGCATGGTATAAAGAAGACATTCACAATCTGTTGAAGGAATGAATGGATGGATCCGCTGGAGAGTCCCAACCTCAAACCTACTCCGTTCTGACAGAGAACAGTGAAGGGCCTGCCTAACATTGCAGAAGACTGAGCCTAATTCCAGGCAAGTTCTTCCCCAAGTCCCACAGGAGGGCTGGGGAGTGGGCACCTTTGGGAGGTCCTATTATCAGGGTAGAGAAAGACCTGGAGGGACGAACCCTAGCTCCTGCCCCGCCCTACCCCATCCTGCTGGGGAGAGCGGCGGAAGGGAGCTTTTCTCTACTAGACCCTCGGGCTTCACGACTGCACACAAGGTGTCTGTTGAGGGAACCCGGCAGACTCCCTATCTCTTCGCTCACAGCGCCCCACCCTTCCCGCAGCGGTAGCGGTGAGATCTGGGGGCTCCTGCCCTACCCGCCCCCAGCACCCCGGCCTCGCATCACCCCTCACGCCTCACCATTGCGCCGGGACGCCCGGGTCCAGCCCTTCCTTTCCGGTCGGGCCCGGTCAGCTGACGTGGTGGTCACGTGGCCAGGGGCGGGGCTCCCTCGGGGGCGGGGCCTCTGCGGGGGCGGGCCGTCCTGCCCCGAGATGCCCGGCGCGTAACACGGGGCCCCCTTCTCAGTCTCCGGAAGCCTTCCCCGCGGGGGCCCAGCGCCAACCCGCAGGTTAACCGAGGACAGGCCCTAAGCGGTAGGAACAGGGAGGGGAAACCGTTTAATTTGTTCACCTTAAGGGAGCGGGAGCCCAGGCCTGGGTCTGGTGCTTAGTGTCTTACTCCTTGTGCGGGAGTATTCAGGTCGTTTCCACGGTTTGCGTCAGTAAGCAATGCCTTTACACATAGCTGTGGGCTGTGGCAAAAGACGTATTGGTTTTTTTAGGCGGAGGTAATTTGGTTTGCTTATTTATTTATTTTTAGAGGAAGTACTGGGGATTGAGCCCAGGACCCTGTGCAAGCTAAGCATGCACTCTACCACTTGAGCCACACACTCCCCCCCCCCGTATTTTTTAAAACTTTGTTGGAATATAATATACATACAAGAAATTGCATATAGTGTAAGTACAAAGTTTAATGAACTTCCATGAACTGTACACTGCATGTAATCAGCACCCAAATAAGGAAACATTACCGGTACCCCAGATACCTCCTTCAGGTGCTGGGGTATTTTATTTCGTTTTGAGGAGTCCCCTTAGTTGCCTAGCAAAAAGGCCTGCAACAGTTGACATGCTCAGGTGAACTCTTTTGTGGCTTTACCAACATCAGATGTTTATTTTAATTTTTCTCAATTTAGTGGGAGTAAAATAGGTGGCTTTAAACTGCTTCGGTCTGCTTACTGGCGAGTTTGAGCTAATGGATGGTCGAGGAAAACTAAGTTTCCGATGTCCACTTGAAGAGAGAAAAATAAAAAAAACCAAACAGCAACAATAAAAATACACTAGAGAATAGACTAATAACCAAAGAAGAAACTGAGCAGTTTGAAATCTCTTCAGTTCCATGCCCCCACCCGTAGGCTAGGCTCAGCTGGCTTTATTGTTGAAGGCTTTTAAAGTTTTAAAGGACAGACAGAACCCATGACAATTAAACAGCTCCCTAGAGGTGGAAAGCTTCCCCAGTCTGATAGAATGATCTCACTTATGAAGAGCTTTTTAAAAAATCATAATCACGTTGAAGTCAACAGCGTGTTAAAATACACCATGTCAAAGAAAAACTTAGAGTATAGGAATTGTTCAGCTTACATTTCATCATCTCAATAGGTGAGAAGAAAACAAGTGATAAATTTGCGAAACCATTTCTTATCAAAAAGGAGAAAAAAGAAAAAATTAGGAATAGATGAAAACTGCCTTAAGTTGATAGAGTATTTGGAAAACAAAACAAGAGATATCAAACTGACAAATTTAAATTTGGAAATAAGGCCAAAAGGTGGGTGGCTTATCCTTTTAATGTCATACTGGAGCATTGTCTCAGATTTGTTTCACAAATAAAGATTATTTGACTATTTAGAGCAGTGGTTCTCAAACTTTAGAGGGTATCAGAATCACCTGCAGGGCTCGTTAAAACAATGATGGGCTCCACCCCCAGGGTTTCTAGTTGACGAGGTCTGGGGTGGGAGCTGAAAAATTGCATTCCTAACAAGTTCCCAGGTATGCTGGTATTTTCAGTTTGGGGACTTTACTTTGAAAATCACTAAGGTAGGAAAATGTACCTGAGAAATTGTATGTTAACTTACAGACTTCTGCCCAGTAAAAAAGTTAACCCCAAAGATTTCAGTTTTATTGTCCCATAGGACATTGTTACGTTTTGTCTTTAACTCAGCACACACTTCATAATGCCTTTCCCAAAGCGCTAGAAATACTTCTCAAAATGTTCCTTGAACTAACTTTACCATCTTACTGATTAATTAAATATCTGAATGAAAGATGTTTTTCATTTTCTGGAAGTCAAGCTTTCATACACTATGCTCACGTATAGCCCTGGACAGCAGGGCACAGATACTAGTGTGGACTTGAATGCTAGACGGATTCCTTTAAAGTCGGGAACAGCAATGCGTTCTCATTACTGTGATCCAGCGTTGTTCTAGAGATAGTAAGGCCGGTGGTTCTCAGCTGAGGGTGATTCTGCCTCCCGGGGGATATTTGGCAATGTCTCGAGATATCTGTAGTTGTCACAACTGGGGAGTGATGCTGCCATCCAGAGAGCAGAAGCCAGGGATACTGCTAACATCCCACAAAGTGTAGGACAGTCCCCAGTAACAAAGAATTATCTAGCCCAAAATGTCAACAGTGCTGCTGTTGAAAACTCTATTCTAGTTAAATAAGCCCTGGAAAAAACTATTAGCATAAATGTTGGAAAAGAATAAACTAGTATCTGCAGACGACACACTATCTAGGAAATCTAAGAGAAGCATCTGAAGAACAGTTGAAAGTCACAGAATGCTGGGTGGCCAGTGGGGGAGGCTGGAGCACTGGGTGTAGACCAGGCTCACCAGGCCCACAGGTGAGCGCCCGCCATTCCAGCCCCACACACCTCACAGGTGGAGAGAGGAAGGCTTCATAAGGAGCTGGAGGCAGGCCGGGAAGTCCATGCCTCGTTTGTCCGGCCTCCTGCCAGCCTGAGAGAAAGGCGGAGTTCAGAGCTGGGAGGTTTTGAGAGCCCCAGCCCAGTCCTGGGGAGGGGAGGCCCAGGGAGCAGCAGGGTCAGCCCAAGTCCCTGAGCCCATAAGGGAAGGACTCCAGCCAGGCCCAGGAAGCCTGGGGCAAGCTGAAGACCCTGTGCTTTGCCGCACAGATCACGAAGGACGCTCAGTCCAGCCTCCGGTCAGGATGTGATTTTTTGGCTTCTAACGCCAAGGCCCACCTCGCCTTTCTCTCCTCTTACCTGCCACACTTCTGCAGCCCCACATTGAAGGTGAGTGTCTCCCTGAGGGGGCCTGAGGGGCTAGGGTTTTAGGCCCAGGACGAGTTTCTCAGGCTGGATCAGGTGGCCAGTCCGAAACAACCCGCCGTGCACCTCCTTCCCGCTCCGCACAGCCACGGCTGCGGTGGCGGGGGGGATCCCAGGGATGAGCCCTCCTGAGGCTGGCCACCTCCTTGCAGCCCCGCAGCAGCACTGCTCCTGCAAGACCCAACACGAGCCCCGTGTCCATCCAGTCTGCCTCCCCAGGCATGGAAAACACTGGGCTTTGTACCCCCCACTCCACGCCAGGTTTCCTGCCCAGGAGGCGGCCGAAAAAGGAATTGATCTCACCTGTTGGAGAAGGGTCTTTCCCTGACTTCTGTGAGCTGTCACCGTACATTATCTAAACTGGGGAGGGGCTTGTGAGAACCCTGATGTGTAGCCAGGTTGGACAGAAGTGCGGGTAACGAGGGGAGGGGTGGAACAACGACTTCTGATCGGTGTCTGAGGTGGGGGCTGAGCCCTTCTGCGTGTGGTCTGATGCTGTCTCCAGGCAGACAGTGTCAGGACTGGATTGTAGGACACTCAGCTGGGGAGATGGTTGGTGTGGGGGAAAACTCTCGTATTTGATTTCAGAGTATTCAGTATGTAGAGGAATAGAGTTTTTCCTTTTAGCGACTGTGAATATAAATTTCATAAAATGGTATCGTACCCCATACTGTGTTTTGGAACCTGATTTTTCACTCAGTGGTGACTAGTGGCAGGCTTTGGACAGGCTCAGAATTGTGTCGGTCCCACCCTGGGTCCCAGCAGAGGGGAGAGCACTGGAGGAGGAGTCTAACAGGTTGCTGGGTGACCTTGGGTGAATCTCTTCTCTCCTCAGAGCCTTGATTTTCTTGGTCAAATTAAGGGCAGGGAGGGGTGTGGGTAGTGCTAGATGAGTGTCTGAGAGTCGAAACCGCCACTTAAAGTTGGCCAGGCTGTGCACTGCAGAACTCCGGAGTGGGGGAGGGGTGTTCTCATCATCATCTCTGTGAATGGAGCCCCCAGAGCTGAGCAATAAATGGGCCCTGCCCGAAGTCTGGTGCATGAACCTTTTGGTAAAGCAAGATGATTTTAGGTGGTATGCAAATACATTCATTCTTATAGTTACCTTCTATTTATAGTAAATGATACCGGCTTTCCATTTATGGTGTATCAGAATCAGCTGAAGGACTTGTTCACCCTCCGGAGATTCTGATTCGGTAGATCTGAGGTGGAGCCTGAAAATTTGCATTTTTAACAAGTTCCCAGGTGATGCTTGTTGCTGCTGGTTCAGGGACCGCCCTTTGAGAACCACTTACCAAGCTGCCTTTTAAAATACCATTATTTAAACTAACACAACATTGTAAATCAACTATACTTCAATAAATAAATAAGAACATATGTATATATAACTGAATCACTATTCTGTACACCAGAAATTAACACAGCATTGTAAATCAACTATACTTCAATTAAAAAATAATAAAATACATTTGTTTAGGTTTTAAAAATGAGTAGATGTTCAACATCACTAGCCATTAGGGAAATACAAATTAAGACCAGGGAAAGAGAACACTACGTCCCTATTAGAAGAGCTGAACTAAAAAGTGGTGACAGTATCAAATCCCAGTGAGGATTCAGATAAAACTGGATCTCTCATGTATTGTTTGTGGGAATATAAAATGGCACAAACACTCTGGAAAATAGTTTGGCAATTTCTTTTAAAACCCAACCATATACCTTCTATATGACCTAGCAGTTGCCTCCTGGGCATTTATCCCAGAAAGATAAAAACTTATGTCTGCACAAAAACCTATGTATGATTGTTCATGGCACATTTATTTGTAATAGCCCCAAAGTGGAACAGCCAAATATCCCTCAAATGATGGTTAAGCAAACCATTTTACATCCATACTATGAAATACTATTGTTGACCTTAAAAATAAAGCAATTATTTTACTAGCAAAAATGGGTTTATTTGGAAATGGCAGAGGAATTGAAATTCGGGATAAGCAAGCTATAGTAAAAGGCATGAGCAAGTCCAACAAACAAAGGGAAGGAATGTTATTTTATCGAGAAAAAGGAGGAAGTTGAGAGGGTTTTCTTTTTTTTTTTGCTTTTTCACATTTTTTAATTGAAGTATAGTCAGTTTACAATGTTATGTCAGTTTCTGGTGTACAGCATAATATGTCAGTCATACATATGCAGACATATATTCATTTTAATATTCTTTTTCATTACAGGTTACTACAAGATATTGTAAATAGTTCCCTGTGCTATGCAGTAAAAACTTGTTTATCTATTTTATATATAGTTGTATCTGCAAATTTCGAACTCCCAATGTATCCCTTCTCACTCCCTTTACCCCCTGGTAACTGTAAGTTTGTTCTCTATGTCTGTGAGTCTGTCTGTTTTGTAAATAGGTTCATTTGTGTCTTTTTTTTAGATTTCACATATAAGGGATATTTTATGGTATTTTTCTTTCTCTGTCTGGCTTACTCCACTTAGAATGATGATCTCCAGGTCCATCCATGTTGCTGCAAATGGCATTATTTTATTCTTTTTAGTGGCTGAGTAGTATTCCATTGTGTGTGTGTGTGTGTGTGTGTGTGTGTGTGTGTGTGTGTGTGTATACCACAACTTTTTTCCAGTTATCTGTTGATGGACATTTAGGTTCTTTCCATGTCTTGGCTATTATAAATAGTGCTGCTGTGAACATTGGAGTTCATGTGTCTATTTGAATTATGTTTTTCTCTGGATATATGCCCAGGCGTGGGATTGCTGAATCACATGGTAAGTTTATTTTTAGTGTTTTAAGGAACCTTCATACTGTAGGCTGCACCAATTTACATTCTCACCAACATTGCAGGAGGGTTCCTTTTACCTACACCCTCTCCAGCAGTTAAAATTTGTAGACTTCTTAATGATGGCCATTCTGGCTGGTGTGAGATGTGGTTCCTCATTGTAATTTTGATTTACATTTCTCTAGCAATTAGTCATGTTGAGCATATGTTGGCCATTTGTATGTCTTCTATAGAAAAATATCTGTTTAGGTCTTCTGCCCATTTTTTTGATTGGGTTGCTTGTTTTTTTGATATTAAGCTGTATGAGCTATTTGTATATTTTGGAAATTAGTCCCTCGTCAGTCTCATCATTTGCAAATACTTTCTTCCATTCTGTAGGTAGTCTTCTTGTTTTGTTGATGATATCCTTAGCTGTGCAAAAGCTTCTTTTAAGTTTAATGAGGCCCCATTGTTTACATTTGCTTAGATTTCCATTACTCTAGGAGCTAGTTCAAAAAAACATTGCTGTGATTTATGTCAAAGAGTGTTCCGCCTATGTTTTCCTCTAGGAGCTTTATAGTATCCAGTCTTAGGTTTAGGTCTTTAATCCATTTTAAGTTTATTTTTGTATATGGTATTAGAGAATGCTCTAATTTCACTCTTTTACAGGTAGCTGTCCAGTTTCCCAAGCACCACTTATTGAAGAGACTGTCTTTTCTCTATTGTATATTCTTGCCTCCTTTGTCATAGATTAATTGATAAGTATGTGGGTTTATTTCTGGACTTTCCATCCTGTTCCATTGATCTATGTGTCTGTTTTTGTGTTTTTATTACTGTAGCTTTGTAGTATAGCCTGAAGTCCGGGAGCATGATTCCCCCAACTCTGTTCTTTCTCAAGATTGTTTTGGCTATTTGGGGTCTTTTGTGTTTCCATACAAATTTTAACATTTTTTGTTCCAGCTCTGTGAAAAGTGTCATTGGTAATTTAATAGGGATTGCATTGAATCTGTATATTGCCTTGGGTAGTACAGCCTTTTTAATAATATTGATTCTTCCGATCCAAGAGCATGGTATCTGTTTCCATCTGTTTGCGTCATCTTCAGTTTCTTTCATCAGTGTCTTATAGTTTTTGGAGTACAGGTTTTTTGCCTCCTTAGGTAGGTTTAGTCCTAGGTATTTTATTCTTTTTGGTGCAATGGTGAATGGGATTGTTTCC